TATTGCTAAGAATTTGTATTGATGACTCCAAGTATGTATCGTGAGAGAGTACAAAAATACAAAGAACACAAAGAACATAAAATACAGACAGAACAAAATAGAGAAAATGTAAGAGAATATTGACTAAAGTATGGATGAATCCAAGCATGTACAGTAAAATACATATTTTCAAAGCTCTGCCCAAGTATATATATATAGTTTAGTTTATTATATATAATATAAACGTATATAACTATCTACTATATATATATAGCTTCATTTATTTACCCTAAATATTTATTTACTATTTATGACAACTTACACGCACTTTAACTTAATATAGTTTTACTATATATATATTTATAACTAAGCTACATAACCTTAACACATTTTCCATATTTTAGGTATGGTCATACCCTTTTTGAATGAGTTATAATCTAACCATTTACTTTATGTTTTCTACTATTTAAAGAATGAAAACTAAGTAAGAAAATAAAAATAATATTTTTAGGCGTTTGAAAATATGTTTTTGCGATGCCTAAGGTAGAGATACATCAGTAAACTGACATCATATCGAGAGCAATTCTAAAAATTTGATTATTAAAATTACTAGTTACTACATGTGAGTGAGGACAAATTAATAACTGGTGTTTGTTTGTAAGGACATTCAAAATAAGTAGGTAATGTCATGGGTACCAAAAAAAAAAAACTAAAAATATGAAATTCATTTGAATGAAGCAAAGAAAAGTAAAAGTAAAGTATGGAAGGAGATGACAAAGGTTGATGATGTGAAAAGTGAAAAAGGACACAAAATCTTATGAAGGGACCATAGGATTTTGTTTAGAGATCATGTTCCACTTTGGGAAAATATCTGTCATCTCCCATCAAAATTAGGCGTTAAGCTTTTTGGATTTAACAGGAATTTTTGTTCTTATAAAAAATGAAAAACCAAATACTTTCCATTTCAAGTGCCTTTCTCTCCAATTATTTCAATTTCCTAAATAATGTTTTATTATTTATAGTTCGTTTGTACATATAATCCATATTAATTAGTATGTGTTTCTCACGACATTTAATGTATTTGTGAAAAGAGTTCTTTTGTTGAAGTGGAACCACATGATAGCTTTGATTGTGGACTGAGGTTTCGTTCTGTTTCTGAATTTGATAGCGCTGCGTGTCCATGTGGTATGGCATGGCATTGGGTACGACCCTTTGTAGTGCGTTAGTGGGGCGGCCATAAAGTGATGCCTCGCGCGCCCACCCTCCCTCGCCTTCCCCTTACCTCCCTCTCTCTTTCTCTAGTGCTTACGTTGCGTGTTCATATGTTCAACAACACTTGTCATTTCCTCCACTACTACTTTTCTTTTCGCGGTTTGGCATGATGATATCAAAACCACATGTTTCATATTGATATGTTTTTCTTTCCAACCTCGAGTTGATTTGTGAGAAAAATCTTATAAAACATGTGACGTTCGAGTTTATAATATTGAAAGTTAAGGTATCTCAAAGGGTCAGAACTTGTCACTTATTTCTAGTTTGAATTAGTTATGGAATATATGATATTCGTAATCATTTAATATTTCAAGAATATATTAATTAAGAAATATAGGATATTCCAGTTAAATTTGATTACTACTATATTTTATTTTATTCTCACTTTTAGTTAGTTTATATTTTTGTAGGTATTAATTAGTATTTTGTATCATATTTAAAGGTTGTGAATATAATTAAATTTTACGATCCCAATTCTATTTTTTCATACTTAACTTTGTATTGTTTAGTTGAGCAATAATATTTTCAAATCTATTCACACTTTTGAGTGGTAGATATTGCGTGAGTTGGTATCAGAGTCATGCCCTAAACTTAGCCATGTTAATAGAATTCTCAAATATCGAACAAAGAATTGTGAGCCTCAAAGATGTAGTCAAAAGTGACTGAAGTGTCAAACAAATGGTGTATTTTATTCGAGAGATCCAAAAAAAGGAGTCAAGTCTCGATTAAGGAGAGGCTATTCGAGAGCTCCATATGCCTCAGGGGAGGCTTGTAATGTACTTTGTTCGAGAGGAGGATTGTTGAGGATTATTGGGAGTGAGTCCCACATTGTTTAATTTAGTGGAAATCATGGGTTTACAAGTAAGGAATACAATCTCCGTTGGTACGAGGCATTTTCGTAATTAACTCGAACTTCAGAGGTATTTTGGTAATTTACCATTTTAAAAATATTTTATTGTTATTACTATTTTGAAAAAAAAAAAAAAAAAATCTAAAAACTCTTTATATACCCTTTACTTTTCTGTCGACTCTTCTTTTGTGTGGAAACATACGATGAATGAAGATTAAAATATTAAATGTGATAGATGTTAATATAATAAGGGTCAAAGTAAATGAATGAGACACCTCCAAGAATCACTTTATGGGAGGGGGAAGAATCTCAATTATTTATTTTTGAAGATTTGTTTAGTCCAATAATAAATTCCGTATTTTCATTATTGAGAAATTAAAGTGAAATCAAAGCAGTTGGAATCAAATAAGTGAGACGCAGATGTGATGGATAAAGATGCCACATGGAACGCAGTTAGGTCCGGCCCTTGGAACATGATGGATAAAATCTTTTGGACCAATTCAAAATTTTGGGTCCTATATTTTTGAGTTGGATTGTCAGTTAACATTTAAAACTCGAAATTAATAATGGTATCAATTTAAACTCTAAACTTTATCGAGAATAAGTTTAAACATTCTATTATAAAATATATATATATATATTCTTTCACACTTGTACCCACTTTTTTATTATATTTATATTTATCATGTATTTATGAGTAAAAAATTGGTACGAAAATAGTAAAAGAGAAATAGTCTAAAAGTAACTTTTTTTATTCACTTGGTACATCCTTATTTTCTTTTTTTTTATAGAAAAATTAAAGGTATTCATAAATATTAATTAAAATTATAAAGTCGTGAAAAATAATTTACACTAATCGTCACTTAACCATAGTTTTATTGAAACAACTACGGTAGAGAAATTAGTATTAAATAAAGTTAGCTATGTTCTAAACAACTATGGACAATATCATACCATTGTGAAAATTCGTGATTCCTAACATGCTTTCAAAGTCATGCCCTAAGCTTAGTCATGACAATAGAATTGTCAGTGCCCTAAGCTTAGTTCGAGGACTCCAAAGAAATGAGTCGAGCCTCAGGGGAATTTGTGTTACAATTTTTATTTGTATTTAAATAGGGGAAATTTGTGGTAGCCAGCAAAAGAGAGTGAGAAGAGAGACATGGAAGAAGAGGGTTATGATTGAGGTGAAATCATAGGAAAAACAAAAAAGAAATGCACGTGATCTTGATTGCTCCATGCTCCATGCTCCTCCTAAGGACAAGACCTCCACTCTTTCCCACATCACTGGTCGGTGGTTTTATGAGTTTTCATATCAGATTGTAATTCAATAAATCAAACACATCACTGGACAAACTTATGATCAACAACTGGGTCTCCTACCTTATGTTTAATTATAAACCTAATTTCCAAATCAGTAGTGTTTTATAAATGCACCTATGTAAGTCTAATCAGTTTCTAATTTTTTTCTTTTATAAATTTAATAGTACTTTAAAATGTCTATAAAAAAATTTATAACCTATCAATTTTTATGTCTAGTAGATCATATTAAAATTTGAAAACTTATTCAGTAAATTCCAAAGTGTTGAATTTTATTATAAATAGGGTTAACAATAATTATTTAGATATTTTTATTTCGATATTTTAGGAATAAAGATTTCTAGTTATTTTAGATTTATAGATATTTTAGAAATAAAGATATTTATATATTTTAGGAAAAATATTTAGATACGGTGGAATAAAAAATATTTAGTGTACACAATGTTGGGATATGAAGCCCTGATGCCTACATATATATTTGAAAGATATTTAGTTAAAATTTTGATTAGAGATATATTGGTTAGATTATATCTCGTAGGTTTAAATTTTATAAAGCTATATTTAGTAAATTGAAACTATATATATCCCCGTGCTCTCAAAAGATACTTTTCTCTGTATTCTATCTTGTTGTACATACCGTCAATAAAAAAAAGCTTTAGCCAATATTCCTCTTTATATTTTCTCTCTTGTTTTTTGTGTTCAATGTTCATCTTTATTGAGTGTGTTCGTGGTTGAGTGATTCTAACAAATGGTATCAATCCTAACACACAAAGTAGAGTATAATAATTTATACAAAATGTGTTGCAATCTCCTCTTAATTGGTCGTATTAATGGTTACGAATAAATAATTGATGAATTTTAAAACCTATCTAAAAATGTTAAAAGAGTTGTTAGAGAATAAATAATTGATTGAATTTTGTAATAATTTGTACAAAAACCAATCTCGTCTATACTTTGAGGGTTTGATAAGTAAGTGTAGCCCACCTTGAAATTGGACCCAACACCAAACCACTTCAATATCGATTAAATTCAAAGGATTAGGTCCAAACCCTAAAATTCAAATGTTTCAATTCAAATGTTTCAATTCAAAAATCAATACAAATCAAGTTTATTCCACAAACTTGATTTAATCTCCGCCCCTATTGCTCTTTTTAACTTATAATCCTTGAATTATTAAAAATCATACATATAATAATAATAATTTGACTGTAAAACCAAATTCAAAATTGAAAATTCACATTTTAACATTTTAAAATTAAATTTATTACATATTTATATTTTTAATTTAAGTAAAATAAAGAAATGTTGTATAATAAAATTGGGGACATCAAAATTCGGAACCACATCCAGAGCCCAATCGTCATTTTTTTTTTTTTAACAATGAATAGTTTTATCTGTAGCAATAATAATAATAATAATAATTTATGTGGTGGTTTTTTAAAATGAACCTTCTCCTATTTTGTTTTCCTGTGATAGAATTAATGGAAAAAAAAAAGATTTACAAACGGTTTGTGGTTTTATATTGATTTTCAGAGATGAGAGTAATTTCTGGTTTTCTTTCTCTTTCCCTCCTAATTCGCCGTCACGAGAAAACGGAGTACACATCGGAATGTTCAAACAGTCCATCGAACGCCACATATTCACTGTCACTGTAGAATCTCTCTCCTTCCCCCAACTCGAAGCTCGGAATCGCATCTTCAAATCCCCAAATCTCTCCCATCCCGGACGACTCCGACGACGCACGTGTCAGTTCGGCGACCTCCGACTCACCGCCTTGACTGGTGGAGGCGTCGGAAGGTGGGAGACCGAGTTCATCGTCGGAGGCTAAGAGAAGGTACCCGAGCTCAGGCAACGACTCACCGGGAGCCGCCGGCAACGGCGGCGGAGAAGAAACCGGGGAGATCTCGTCGGCGAAACTCTGGATGACGGAATCGAGATCCTGAACGACGGGATCGGGATCAGCGCCGTCGAGGAGATCGAGGAGGTCGTCTTTAAGACGCTTGACCTCCGGAGAGTCGGACTCCGAGTCGACTCGGAGACGTTTGTTTGAGGAAGGATCCTCCATGGAAACGGTAATCGGAGAATGGAAGAGAGAGGGTACTAGCAGAGGTGAGGGTGCGGCGGCAGAGCGGCGAAGATGGATATATAAAGGAGACAGAGAAGAGAGAGAAAGAAGGAGAGAGAGAGAGAGTTTGGGTTATGATAGTGACACCAGGCGCGTGGTAGAGAATGCGTAGTCTACATCACGGACGCCTCGTCTTCTTTTTCTATTTATTTTTTTCAATCAACTTTTTGGCTTTATCTTTTTTAAAAGAAAATAATTTTATAGGAATTAATTGGATTGTATAACATCTTCAAGTCCGGTAAACCGGACCCACCGGCCTAGTCAGTCGACCATAAATAATACGGTTTTTTTTTTATTTCCGTTTTTTTCTTTTTCCGGGTCGTCTCCACACCATTGTCCTCTGTGCAAGTAGCTGGGTTTCCATATGGCATCGTATTCTTTTTATTTTACTTTTATTTTTGAAAAATGTCTATATTCTATTTTTACCTTTTACCTTTTTACCTTCCACCTTTCCACCCGGTCCTCAATTTTTATTTTCTTTAATTAAACCTCTATTTTAATTTTTGAGATATTAATGAAAAGGTTACACATCTATGGGCCAACCACCATGCATCCTTTGGGAATGGCCAAGTTCCATACAATTTTAAAAAATATATTTACAAAATATCCTTAAAAAAAATAAAATATTTTGGAAGGGAAAAAAAAAATACACGTGGTCCAAGGGATTCGTTCTTTTCTTGTGACACAAGAAGTAGTACAATCCACGTGTCCTCACCAATGAAACTCCGACACGTCAATACAAACCAAAAATAATAAAACTTACTTGGATAACATGAACTTTATTTTCTTTTCCTTTTTGCCTTCCAATTGCTCCGAAATTTAATGTCAGAATACGTCAAAAGCATTCAAAATGCAAATAGTTTTCTAAACATTTTTTTTTTAAATTTAATAATAAATCTCAATAAATACATATTTATATCGTCCAACTTATCAATCTAACATATTCATACGTGATTTATAAAACTATAAAGCTTAATTTTTTTTAATATTTTGTATAATTATTATTTAATATCTTATTGTAAATTATATATCATATTATACATATTTTAATTTAACCAAAAAAAAATGAATAGAATTTATGATACTTATTATATATTTTATTTTTAACATAGTAAATTATAAGAGTTTACTTACTTTGTTTTTTTAATTTCTTTTTCCATAAGATGTAAGAATGTGGGAAGGGAGTGACGTAGGAATTAATGTCATTAAGATTTATTCGTATAATTTACTAAAAGATTTAAACTCAAATTTTAAAACGTTTTAAAAGTAGTTTGAGATTGGAATTGATTCTGAAACATAAATTAAAAGTGATTACGTAAGAATCTTATCTTAATTTCCTTTTTATCTTTGGTAAAGTCATTTATAAATGAAACTTTGGAAATACACGTTCATTCACACGTTTAAAAAAAAAATTGTAATTAGCTTTAAAAAGTATATTTAAAAGTGCATTTATGTGGAATCTGATGCCAGTTCTTACCGAAATAAAACAAAATAAATGAATTAATAATAATAATTCGAGAAAATAATGTCATCTTGTTTAATGTAACATTTTTCTCTTACATATATTTGAATTGAAACCAAATAACATAAACTAAGCTAAAGTTGGAAATAAATTAATAAAATGACCAAAAAAGTACAACTATCAACGTGGCAGTATTTAATTGGCGAAGTGTAGTTTAATATGGTTGACACACTGCCTTTCCTAATCTCTGACTGTAACATTAGATTGCTTGTTAATACCTTTGACTTTGACTATGATAAAAAAAAGCTGGCCAGTCATCCTAGCCAATCAAACAGAGCCACGTCATATCTTCTAGATTTATCATAAATACTCTGTCATATAGTTTTAAAATTATATTAAATAATGCACAGGCGTTCCCAAACTGTTCCCCTTTGTACATTTTAAATAGATTCACATTTAAATTTGTTTTATTAATCTATTAAAAAAAAGAATAAGTGCATAATTCTTAAATAATATAGTCAACATTTAATATAATTATAAAAATATAAGAAATTTAAAAGTTTTAGGCTGAATTTATTTTATTATTGTTTAGAAAAACCTGAAAGTGGCGTAAAATGGGTGAATATGATGAAATAGCAAAAGTTAAGTTGACAAATTAAAAAAATATATTTATATTAATATAAAGAAAATTAATTTATAATAAAGAAAGGAAAAGGTAAAAATAATATTGAGAGGGGAGTGTATAGAATGAAGAGCCGTACGAAGTACCTGAGCGGAGGCGAGTCGGGACTACAAAAAGTACAGCTTTTTTATTTTTTTTTCCTCTCTAAAAAAAAGAAAAAAAAAAAAAAACCACTTGGGCTGCCAAGTGGGGAATCCCACCCACTTTCTTTAAGTGCCATGATAACGTTACCCTGCACCATCACCCCCCACCCCTCCAAACAACAAAAACAATATCTTTTATTCAATAGGGTTTAGATCTACCTCAACCTTCCATCTTCTTCTTAAATTTTTTTTTATATTGTTTCAAATATTTTAACGTATCGAGTTTATGGGTATTTCTGAAACACGTTATTAACCGTAAAAATATTTTTAAATATTTTTAAAAAATTTAAAAATATTAATGAAACCTTTTAAAAGTTGGATTTATTAATGGCTTATATATAAAATTACCAGTAAGGATAGTTTTGAATTTTTGTTAAAAATTAAGGTTATTTTTATTTTTTCTTTTTTTAAGTTGAGAACTAAATATATTTTTTTTAATGTAAAATTGAGAGATGAAAAAGAAAAAACAATATCCGATAGTTGCTTGTGAAAAATAGAGTAGGTTAAATTACAAAAGAAATAAATAAAAATAGCATCTCTTTATTTATTTAAAAAAGAAAATACACATTATATGCGATATTAATTTTAAAATGTATATATGTTAAAAATATTATTGACAACAATAAGTAGAAATTGTGATTTGAAAGTGTATCAAATAAAAATTTTAACATAAGCAGAGTCCCACTATCTTTGGTTATTTCCAAATTTTATCTAATTTTAATGATTTTTTATTTTAATAATATATTTCATTTTTCATTTTATTTTAAAAATATTCTTCCATTGTTTAACTTTAAATATCACAATTTTGTTTAAAAAATATTAAAAAAAAAATCTGTAAACTTTTATAACTTAAAAAATATATATTTACCATTAATAGAATTATCAAAAGTAACACTTTTAAAAAAGTTTAAAAAGTTTTTACTATAAAGATTAACTATTTTTCAAACTATATATTTTAAAATTTTTATTTTTCTAAAAGATAAAGTATTAATAGTTTTGGTATAAAATCACTTTTTTTTTATTTGTTAAAAAATTAAAAATATTATTGAAGGAAATATAAAATATAAAAAGAATTTATTTTTTTGAATAAGGAAGTAATAAAAAGTATAATTAGAAGAAAAAGGGAGGAATTGGGGAGTGGGTTTGGGGCGCGGTGTCCGGTAAATGAGAACAGTGGTGGGCAGAATCCAAGGGGAAGACAGATAGGTATGGGGACCACGTGAATAATGAATGTTAAGTGGGGACCACTCCACATAAATTAATAAATAATAAATAAATGGAAAGCTGCCACATGATGCACGGGATCTCATTTCATCCTGCGGGCCCCACCCCTTCTCTCTCCTCTTTTGGTTATTGCTTTTTTCGCGAGGACTCTGCCCTTCTTTCCTGCCCACCCTCTGCCCCTGCCCTTCTTTCCTGCCCCCACTGCCCACCCTCTGCCCCTTTGCTTTTTTAACGCATCTCTCCATTTTCAACCATTTTATTTTTATTTTTATTTTTATTTACATCCATAATAAATACTTGTCTCTCTACTTCACCGACAACTTTCTTTTTATTTTTTATTTTTATTTTTATTTATTCCAAATGTATTCCAAATAAATTCTATATCTTATATTATCATTTAAATCTTTCAAAGGTTCCTAGTGGCGAGGGAACTAGGATTAATTATGTAACATGTATGAAACCGATTGGAGAACGTACTCGAGAAACAATTCACCATCTCGTGTTGATCTCTCGTCATTAACCATCATATATTCATTACGAAACAACACGACTCTCTACAATGGTATGATATTGTCCACTTTGAGCATAAGCTCTCGTGGCTTTGCTTTGAGCTTCCCCAAGAGACCTCATACCAATGGAGAAAGTATTCTTTTGTATAAACCCATGATCATTTCTTAAATTAGTCAATGTAGGACTTTCATCATCCAACAAAGTCCTTCACCGTATGGTTGCAAGGGTGACGTGGACATGGATAACACGAGCATTATTTGTACCCTACAAACTTTAGTTTACCTAAAAATGTTATGTTATTAAATCAATTTGGTTTATTTAAAAAAAAAATATTTTGAAGAAGGAAATTATTAAAAAATGAGAGTTTGGATTTGCCAGGTCAGACGGCACAACATCCTAGACGGCCAGCCGTTCATAATAGACGTTTGTTTTTAGGTTTGTCGTCTTGTAACCGATTTGATTGGTGTGGATTTTGTTTTATTGTACTGACACCTGGACGACGTGTCGGCCGCTGATGTGCCAGCAACATCCAAAAGTACCATTTAATTTCTATCCTTAAATTTAAAATATAATTTACAGTATGTAATGTTGTAGGCCTTGTTTGGAACATTTTTTTAAATTAAAGTTGACATAAAAAAAAGATGTACTTTATTTTAAAATTTTCTATTACCTTAAAAAAAAAATTCATTAATAGCTTTAGACATTAAAATAAGTTAAATAAAAAATATTATTACCATTAGCATTAATATTTTATTTTAGTAACAAAATAAGTTCTATGCCCAAGGAAATTATTAAAAAAAAATATAAACATTCAAATTTGCATTATATTTTTAACATTAAAAAAAAACTATTTATTTATACTCAATTATTTCTATATAAAAAAAAACTATAAACTTTTTAAAAATTTTCAATTGAAAAT